CGTGTTCCTTCCCCGGTCTCCGCGCCCCGTTCATCCCCCGTTTCTGCATCGAATACACCCCACGATTTCATTCATATACGACTTCGAAAGATCCCGCCGGTCGCGTTAATTTTAGAACCTCCCTAGATCCACGGCACACACTATACGTTTCCGGTCCAAATTGAAATCTCTCGCATCAAAGGTCGTATTCCGCGTCGCTCACAAAAATAGAACTTTCGAAGCGCACTCGTTCCTCCTCGTTTACCGAAGCCGCTCCCGCGATACAGGCGATTCGACCTTTCGATGCCTGGTGACCGACGTTCAAACGTCGTGAACGGCGTCCGTCGAGTTTCGAAAACCGTGTTCTGTCGTTCAGACGTACACTCCGCCTTCTGTTCCCTTCTGGAGACACCGTGTTCGCAGCTGAACGGAGTATCTGTTGGGTTGGGGAATATAAGTTGGTAGCGTTTTTATCGAGCAATTCGAAGGCGATCTTTCTTCGTTGTTTTCGTTAAGCTCGCGAGACACCCAGGCTCCCGATTTTTCGGAAAATTCCATTGAATGAAGACGATCGAGAATCGTTTTATGATCGTAGTTCATTTTTTCGACCAATTCACGACTTGTTCGGTGACCGTCCTCCTTCGAAAGTGCTTCGAGGCGCTCTTCGTCGAATTCAGAAGGTCTTCCGCTCTGCGGGCCGTGTCGTCGACGTCGAAATCGCCGTTTTTGAACTTCGCGAACCATTTCCGTGCTGTAGACTCGCCTACGACACCTTCTCCGTATACGTTGCAAATGTCCCGGGCTGCTTCGGCAGATTTTTGGCCTCGATGAAGAGCGAAGAAGAGAAGGTGTCGAAAACGTTGCTTTTTTACCTCCTGGATATTCCATTTCTAAGCCTCGAAAGTAATAAAAAGATTAAATTACTCAGAAAGACGATTAGCACAGTTTTGTAGAGCAGAAAGAGCTCTATCGAATGAATATTATACACTTTGTTGTGAAATATATATATTTATATAATATATATAAATATATAGATATCTATATAATATATATTTAAATATAAATTAAATATAATTATTTATATTAAATTAATATATAATTTAATATAATATAATTTATATTATATATATATATATATATATATAATATATAATATAATAATATAATATAATGTATATATATTTAAATATAAATATATATATATATATATATATATATATATAAACGCTACGAACTTATTCCCCAACCTAATACATTTATATTACATTTGCTAGTTCAGCTAGCCGGCTAAAATAGTTCGCTCGGGATTCGATAAAGCGACGGGTGAAAATGCGTTCCCATAACGCGGCAAGATTTTGATGGCAGATCGAGGATCGCGTTTGTATTAAAACGGACTCCCAACGAGTTATACGATCCCACGGACAGGAGAGTTTGGTTCCCGCGCGCGGCGTCCGCAGCTGCGGCGACACGAACCCGGGTTCCCATCGTGGGACACGAATAGCGGGCGTCCTTAGGACGGGCGAGAGACGCGCCGTGGTGCCGATTAGAACTGATCGGACTGACCTGTATTCCCCTTTGATTCGTTTCAGAGGAAGAACAAGTACCAAGAGGCGAAGCTGAAAGCGTTGAAAGCGAGAAACGATTACATTCTTTGCCTGGAGGCCTCGAACACGACGATACACAAGTACTTCGTGGACGATCTGTCGGATCTCATCGACGTGAGTTGCTACAACGACGTTGTGCCCTTCGTGGAAGAGATATAGCGTGGCCGTAGAATCGATCGACAGCTGAAGTACTCGTGTTTCGGCCACCGGGACGACACAAGTGACGGAAGCACGGGCGTGGAAAGTCTTGAGCTTCGCTCAAGGTCGTAGGAACTAGCGAAATCTCTTTCGGTTCGACGTCTTTTCTTTACCGCGCGTTTATCCATCAGCAAAAAGTCAGGTGAACGACGACGATACGATGGCGAACGACGGAAGTAGAGAAAAGGTTATTCGAACGGATCAAGTTGGTAATATGAGCCGTTTATTTTGAAAGTGGCATAAGTCACTTTTTCAAGAAAAAATCGAGTTAATGGTAACACTAATTACAATTGAACGGTATCTTTTCATTTTTTTAAAATTTGCAATCAATAAGTTGAGAACTATTGAAATTTGTTCGGGAGAAGTTTTGCTAATTAACGGTATAACAAACATGTTTATTTTGAAAGTGGCGTAAGTCGCTGTACTCAGGAAATTAATTGCGGGAAATTCATTACTTTACCGTAATGAAAAGTGGATTTTTTAATATTTTTCTCTCAAATTATTTCTACTGAGAGAAATATCAGCATCCTGAGATAACAAATACAAGTAAATCTTCTCGAAAGTTAGCATCCATATTTTTAAATGTGTTAAAACGCAAACCCTTAAATACATCTACTTAAAAACAAAGTGATTTATGCCACTTTCAAAATAAACGACTCATATATTCGTAAGTTTCTCGCATACTTTCCGTATCCTTGAAACGACTACGTTATCTACAGGGCATCCCGAAAATGTCTCGCAATCCGGAAATGGGAGGTTCCTGAGGTCATTCGAAGCAACTTTTTCCTTTGCGAAAATGTTCTCCGAGGCTTCGTTTACGAGTTATCAACGAAAAACACTGACCAATGAGAGACGAGCTCGGCTGGCGCGCTGCGGACAAGCCAATGAGTGCACGGCGCTCAGTTCCGCTCATTGGCTCGGCCGTCTCGCGCCGCCAAATGATCTCGCCTCTGATTGGTCACTGTTTTTTGTTAATAACTCGTAAACGAAGCCGCGGATTGCATTTTCGCTGAGGAAAAAGTTGCTTCAAATGACCTCAGGAATCCCCTACTTTCGGATCGCGAGACATTTTTGGGACACACCCTGTATATAGCTTTTTGATCTGTGGTGTCTGCAAGATTCAGTAAAGTCAAGTTTACGACCACGCTATAACGTTTCCTACCGGGAAGAAATTCTGGCTAGCGTAGTTCGTTCGGTTTCCCCTTATCGGTGAAATTGTGCGCGAACTGTACCAGTTTCGACGAGCCTTAAAAGAGCACTGAACTGGCTTCTCGATGGCGTGCAGCTGACCTACTACCTGCTTAACGACCAGTTACCGGCTATTGGCTACCAGTAATCGTGCAGCTCGATCGGCAACAGGTAGACTGAGCGTACGAATGTTTCAGTGCATGGATTTTGGCTTCCATAATTGCATCGCTCGCGCGTTGCTGATGCACTGCAGCGCGGAGGAGGGCAGACAACGTTCGTTGCAGTCGGGCGCCGAGCAGCTGGCCGCCTGCGTCGGTGCTCTAGACTCCAGAGCGGACAAGCAGCGATTTCTGGAGTCTCATCATTCCGCGTTCATGATCCCGAAGAAGTTCGAGTTTCAAGGCCAGCGAGGAGACGAAGTAAACTTTCCCGAACCAACAGATAACTCGTTGATATACGTCTTTTAACGTTCGCGATGTTAACGAGGCTCGACGTTTTGCAGGCACCCGAACCCGAATTGCAAAAGTTGTTGCACGCCGAGATGGAGCAACGTTTGACGCAACTGCAGCAGAGGGTCACGTCCTTGAGAACCGAGTCCGAGGAAGTATGGAAAACGTTGGAGACGGCGGAAGCCAGCCTCTTGGAGATGCTGACAGCGAAGGACTACGACTGCTCGAGGTATTTCGGAGAGAACGCCGTGCCTACGTCGAGGCCTCCGGAGACCTTGCAAATCAAGCTCAGGGCCGACAGGCAAGAAACCGAAGAATTCTACCTCACGGTGAGTTAAAATTAGACCGCGCGGTAAACAAACGGGAAAGGAGAAAGCGGTTAACGTGCCCGCGGTGATCGTGTTTGTGCTTGCGGGACATTGCAGAAATTCAGGGAGTATCTGCTTGGCACCTCCAGAATAGCTAGACTAGACGCGAAGCAGGAATACATCAGGCAGAGCTTGCTGGACGGCTCGACCGCGAGCCCGAATCCGTCGCTGTCAACGACCAAACAGAAACAGGCCCGGCGGAAACGTATCGGGCGGCTGCAGATGAACGGCCAGCCGAAGCTGTTCGGCGGCTCGTTAGAAGAATATTTGGAGAGCACGAATCAGGAGATACCGTTGATCATGAAGAGCTGCATCAGAGTGATCAATCTCTACGGCCTCCATCACCAAGGGATTTTTCGGGTCTCGGGGTCTCAGGTGGAGATCAACAATTTCCGCGAATGGTTCGAAAGAGGAGAGGACCCGTTGGCCGACGTGACCGACGCGTCGGACATCAACAGCGTGGCCGGCGTGTTGAAGCTCTATTTGAGAGAGCTAAGGGAGCCTCTGTTTCCTATCATTTACTTCGAGCACCTTATGGAATTGGCGCAGCTGGAGTCGAAACAGGAGTTCGTCAACAAGATGAAGGAATTGATTTCGAGTCTTCCAAGACCGGTTGTTATTGTAATGCGATATCTTTTCGCATTTTTAAATCAGTAAGTACGCCACATGCCTCGTGTGCCCGTTTCTTTTTCTTCACGAGCGAAACCAAAACGAACAAACCTCCTTCCCGCAGCCTTTCAGAATTCTCGGACGAGAACATGATGGATCCTTACAACCTTGCGATTTGCTTCGGTCCGACGTTGGTACCCGTGCCGGAGGACAAGGATCAGGTGCAGTACCAGAATCAAGTGAACGAGCTGATCAAGAACATTATCACGTTCTGCGAGGAGATATTCCCCGAGGACATTGGAGGTACTCAGTACGAAAAGTACATCAGTAGGGAACCGGACGACGCGTAAGTGTACCCGCTCGAAATTCGATGCACCGGCGAATCGTTTCTGAAATTCTGTCTCCTTTCTTGGCAGCGACGTGGGCGACTCGCCGACCGACCAGGTCCAAGAGGACATGGACTCGGAGGTGTACCCGTCCGAGGATGGTGAGTGCGAGATCGATCATCAATGCCGTACCTTCGGAATCCAACAGTGCGCGATCTACGTTCCTTTTATGTATTCCCAGAATCGGAAAACCTTGAAGCCACAGCGCAATTCGATTTCAATGCAAGGTCCGAAAGAGAGTTAAGCTTCAAAAAGGGGGATACCTTGACTCTGTACACGCAAGTCAGTAATGACTGGTGGCGAGGTGCCTTGGCTGGTAGAGAGGGGCTTATTCCCGATAAATATATTATGATCAAGATAAAGTAAGTGCGACTCAATCACACGCAACGGCCAATTATATTCACCGAAAATGCTTTTTAGTGTTAGCGCATTCGTCTCTTAGCGGTGTCGCGTCACGTTTCTTGGCCTGCGGTGCCGAGAAATTCGAGCGAAAGCAACAAAGGAGCCGTGTAGCATATTCTCGATCTCGTCGGGATTTAGCTGTTCGTTGCGATCGATCGAATCTGTCTCATTAAAACGTTGAATGCCATGGGGGTCACCGGTGACCGGCACTTAACTTGGCGGTGACGCCATGGGGGCCACCGGTAACCGGCACGCCCAAATTGATAGAAATATATATATAATTTAAAACAAATGTCAATATCTAAAATTTTGTATTATTACCATCGTCAATACAAATAGTGTGACCCCTGTAGCAATTAACATGGCAAACATGGTTATACACTGTAACTTATCTATAGCAGATAATATTTCAACATTATATGTATCACATAAAAGAAAATTCATCGTGGCGCCGCGGTCAATTTCTGTAAAACCGGCGTGGCATTCAACGTGTTAACCTTGTATACGTAGCATGGATCTCTGGGTCCTACGTTGCCATTGGTCCATGCTTTCAACACAATCTCGTGTACACAAGGTCAAGATGCGAGACCGTACTTTTCGCAGCGGGCACCTATTTCTCGATTCGATCTTGACTGGTGAGAAGGTCTCTGAAGATTGTCTGGTCGTTTGTCCAGGGACGAGGAACGCGAGAAGGAACTCCTGAAGTCGTCCAGCGAAGAATCGATGAGAAGACGAACCTCGAGCTCGGCGGACAGCGTTTTGTCGAGCAACAATTCGCCGCTGATGGGCCCATCCGGGAATCCGTCGACGTGGTCTTCGGGCATCGCGTCCGACGCCGCGTCTGCGACGGCCACGCCGACGCCAACGGCTGCGAGCGCGATCGCGATCGCGACCGCAAATGCGGCCGCGGCCACGACCGCCGCCGACAATACCGGGAATAACAGCAGCGGTGTTGTCCCGACGCTCGTCACGAACGCAGCCTGCATCTCGTCGACACAGCCGATCATCAGTCGAGAGGTATTGGAAACTACCGTTTAGTTACGAACGCTCGTTCGGACTAAAGTTTTTACTTTTCTTCTTCACGTAATTGGTTTGCTTGTGTACATTTTTGCGAACCCACTCGCAAAAGACTGATACTCTAGGCACAAGTGCATGGCTGTGTGTTGCGCTGCAATCTCGAATCGGTTTTCTTTTCAGCGCGATTTACTCTGACCAACCGAGAAAGCTACGTGTCCACCATAGGGATGATTCTCGATTTCTAAAGCCGATCGTGTTCGACCGTGATCGCCTTTCGCTTCCTTCCGTCACGGCCAAGCAAAATCAGAAACGCTGAGCACATAAGAGTCGTTGGTTGCTGTCTGCATCTTCTGCTGTTGCCGTTTTTCCTTTTTTTTTATGTTTGTAATGGCAAACGGTGCGGGAACAAACTTTCAACTTCACTTTTAGACTGTTGACTGTAAACTGTTTAAGGGGAAACGTCCGAGATTTATATATACATATTATATAAATATTATATTATATTATATATATTATAATATAATATAATATAATATAATATGTAATAATATATAATATTATATAATAATATATATATATATATATATATATATATATATATATATTAATTATGGCAAACGTTTTGCTATCGTCGGCAACAAAACACCAATTAGAAGGTTGCCCTTTTTATCCCTTTGGTGGAGACATAGCCAAATATCGAATCGCAAGCTCGCGCGCGCGGGCGCGCGAGGGTGTTCGGTGACATTGTTGAACTCTTTGTCTTGCAACGAACATTCGATTGTAATCAAACTTTTTTCAAGCTTTCAAGTATTTCAAGAGCAATTCAAGGGAACGTAAGAATTGTAGACAAGGGGTTCAAGTAGCGGACTCTCGTTGGCTGCACGCGTCGCACTTTCTGCAAATTTTTAGCATTGCTTTTGTCTCACGAAACACGGTTGGAGAGATCTACTATCTGCCGCGTTGTTTCCGAATTTTCGCCGCGATCGCGACTTGTCTCGCGCGTGTCCCGTTTTTATTAGGTAACCCGGAGAACATGTTTTAGATGATCGATATCCGTTCGACGTTGAGATCGCCTCGAACATCGAACGAATTTTGACTATCTAAAAATTATGATATATCGGCTTCTGAACCGATCGAAACGTGCGGATCAAGCCGCGGAGATACGACGTGTTAAGCACATATACGTTTGCACCGGAGACGCCACGGTGGTAATTCGACCAGCTACGATTATTTGTACGATACATTTGTAAATAAAATAGAAATATATACGTGTTTGTCGCTGCATGTTGCCTTGGTCTCTTTGTCTTGCGTCGCCTTGTGTCCTTTTTTGCGTGTTTTTTGCGCCTCACATGTTTTTTTTCCTCGTTAACGCGGCGGCGTTCACGATTTTGTTTTTTTCGATGTTAATAGTGTGGGATGGTTGCTGTTTTTCCAGATATACGTTTAGTCAGCCTTTAGTTCGCAGGATTAAAAAAAAAAAAACAAAAAAAAAAGCAAAGTTTCGCGTACACGTAGGTAATGTGGGCGAAACGGACTAAAAACTGTTCGATAAAACTACTACCGGCAAAAGAAAGAAGTGAGTGTGTCCGTCCGTGTGGTTCTGTCGTTTTCTGTGTTTTCTGTCGTGCCTCGTTTCTCGTTGAAGGGAGAGCGGCTCTGTTTGAAACGGTTGGTCGGTTGGTTGGCTCGCTCGTTCGCGATGCGTTTTGCGAATCTTAGCATTCTGTAAAAGCGATTTCAGTCTGTAGACGAATACCGAGATGGAACGCTACTCGCACAGGCTACTCTACTTGTCCAGCGGATGTTCCGTCGGCTTAGGTGAGTACAGAAAGCGTCGTCTCAGCCCCAGTCTCCAGTTAATATTAACTTGGTTGCTGGCATCCTTAGAGAGATAGGTATCGACGCAGAGCTGTTTTCGTGTTCGTCATGCTTGCACATTCATTCCCATGATTCATATTCACGGTTTTTACGAGCAGTTTTTAATCCCATCTTGTCTCTCTAGCATGCACGAAGTTTCTTGGACGATCCTGGACCGGTCGCCATCTTTTTTACCGCATCTTCTCTAATTTTCCTATTAACACGGGGGCAAACTTACGTTCGAATTGTTCGCACGACTCTCTCTCTCTCTCTTCTACTTCTCCACCACCTGTCTATCGCCTTACAATATTGTTTTCTCTCTGTTTTTTCTTCTTCCCCCGATCTCGTTTGTAACTCATCCGAAATTCACGTACCTCGTGTCCAATTAACTTCTAGAGCGTACGTGTTGTTGATGTTATATGTATATGTAACATTGATAAATACTCGAATTCTCTCTTATATATTAATATAATTATATATATAATATTAATATAATTTTATATATTAATATATATTAATATATAGTATTAATTATATTATATTATATAATATTATATTAATTAAAATATAATATTAATATTAATATAATAATATTATAATAAATAATATAATAAATATAATATAATATATAATTAAAATAATATTAATATAATTTTACATATAAATATATATTAATATACAGTCTATTTAACATTTGTTTTTGCGTGTGCTCTAGACGTTCAAAGATGGTTCTTTGCGTAAAAGAGATATCCGTGGAAAATGAAGAAAAAGACCCCGTTCGCGATCCTGTTCCACGTTCATTATGCCAACAAGACCCGTCGCTTCGAAAGCTTCTGATCGCGAACTCTCAACACACTGCGACATTGTTTTCCGAAGCGAGCGTCACTTTCAATCGTGAACCTGTTTTCAGGAGTCCGCGTCCCGAGCGGCGAAGATCTCCACGCCCGAAAGGGAAAATCGTATCGGAACGGACACCACCCCGGTCTCTGTCATCCTATCGACGAACGAACGGGGCGACAACGAGAAGCTGTCGAGTTTTGCCGCCGAGTCGTCGGCGCAAAGGAGCGGCGGCGAAGAAATGGGCACGGAGGAAGCGGATCGCGCGGGTTTCGCCGGCCAAGAGAGCGGTTCGAAGCGCGGGTCGAGCAGAAAGCAGCATTGGAAATGCCAGAGTATGGGGGAGACGGTGCAGCAGCAACAACAACAACAGCAACATCAGCAGCTAACGGCTGGAAATTCCCTTCAGGTGGGGGGGACCGCGTTGCCGCAGGAAGAGGACCCACAGGAACAGCCGACGTTCTCGGCGAATCGGGAGCTTTGGCAGAGGCGAGCCACGTCGCAGACCCAGTTGAATCCCCCGGTGCCGCCGAACAATAAGATTTACCGCAGCTCCCAAGAATTCCGCGAGATGCGACAGAAACACACGCCGGATCTCGTGATGGACTTGCCGTTGTCGGCGCAGGATGCGAGCAAAAAGTCTGCCTCGTCGAACAGCTTGAGCAGCTCGGACGAGGATACACCGGTGCAACCTTCGCGGGCCGAGGCGGCTACCTCGCCGACGGGCGGTCCCGAGTCGCCGGACATGAGCACGGCCGCCGAGCGGTTCGCCAAACAGAATCAGTGCACCTTGAAGAAGAACACCAAGACGAACCCGCCGGAAACACAGTCGAAGCTGAAACGGGGCGTCGACGCCGAGAACGAGCCCGAGCAGGAGCCCGAGGAGATGGTCAGATCGGCCAGCTCGAATCAGATCTCCTCGGACTCCTCGATGCCGTTGAGGTCGCCGCTGCCGCCACGATCCAAGATCGAGCCCAAGATCGTCGCCAAGTTCGCGGACATGCACCTGACCGGCGGCAGCCAAGTGTCCTCGTTCAAACCGCAGGTCAAGGTCAAGCCGACGATACTTAGGAAACCGGTGCTGCCATTCCCGCATCCGCACATGAGCCCCGAGCTCGCGAGGAAGATCGAGAAGCAAGCGCAAAGCGCCGAGCAAACCAATTAATCATCCGGTCGCGAACGATTCACCAGCCGACTTTCCCATTGACCAGTTACTCCGCCCATTTGCGAGGACTCGACGATGCGCGTTAGTTACTCTATCCGAGAAAAAGAAGTCAAGCCGGCCAGCATCGTTCCTCGATATTACCTATAGACGCATACATACATACTTATACGTATACATATATGCATACGCATACACGTATATAGTTGGTGGACAAAGATGCAGCTCGTCGAATCGACGCTCCGTGAATGCGAGAACGCGCGAGATGTGTTCGTTTCGATGCGACGAGTCCTCGAATCCAAAAAAGAAACAAAAACACTCCCATTCATCAAAACACTCGAGACTTTCTACCATATTAACGAGCGATTCGAATTTCATTCGTGATATTTTCCATGACCCCTCACCCTGGCCCTCCCTCCTCGCACCCCGCTAGATCTTTTACAATCACCCCCCCCCCCAAAAAAAAATTTTACGAGTTTGATAGATTTTGACCACCAACTGTACATATTACCTATACATATTTACATAGAACGCGTATCGACACGTTCGAGATGTCAAGTGTGTGGCATCTACGAAGACCGATGCTGTCCTCGAGCCGAGTTTATTTTTTCTACGACTATTTTCCATTTTCGCATAATTTTTTTACCAAATGACCCGCGAAACAATGTTTCTAGTCATCGAGCGACGACGCGCGTGAGAAACGACGAGAGAAACGTGTTAACAAGCAAGAAAAAATACATCGAAGAAAATACAGTTTCGAGTTTACAATACATAGTTGCTTGGACGAGCGAGAGAGCAAGATGCGAAAGCGAATGAGTGAGATTGGGGGGGAGAGAAAGACAGAGAGAATGCGACAATTTTTGTACGATGGACGTTAAAACGTGTAATTTATTACAAACGGGATATTTCTTCTTGAATGTGTATCTTTATGAGGATATTTACGACAAACGTGTTCGATGTTCCTTTGAAATACTCGCGAGCGAGCATAAGTTTCAAAAAACAAGCCTTTTTTTAGATGTTTCTTTCGTACGATTAGTGAGAACGAGTCTTTGAACGCACGCAAGAGAGAGAGAGAGAGAGAGAGAGAGAGAGAGAGAGAGAGAGAGAGAAAGCTAGCGAAAACGAAAGTGAGAGTTGAGTGCATACGTATGTGTGAAAGAGAGAGAGAGAGAGAGAGAAAGAGAACTTTGGGACTCTGATCCCGTTTATCATCGTAAACGCTCCGACGCGTTCTAAGATCGTTTACAATTATTATACGACGACAATTATGTTCGATATATTCACAAATAAATAATATACGTGTGATGAGATGCGCGCGCGTAAGTATTTAACGGTTCGACGTCTCTGTCTTAGCTACGCGCTGATTATTCTGCTATAAATTCAACGAAATAGGAAAAGTCTAATATGTAAACGTGTCGACGTATTCATGCCCTTCCCTGTAACCGACAAAAAACATTATACTCGTTTATCAAATAATATGCATACAGTATCCCGATAATATCCGCAAAAGCATTCTGCACACTATCTTTCGAAAAGAGGAACGCCACCGATGTCGAACTATCAATTATCATTCCCATTGTTCGATCAAAATCAATTGGCGTTGTGATCCTTTATCGATACCAATTACAGATCCAATATTAATACGAATATAATCGCACTATATCCAGCGCAGTAAGAATACCAAAGCAAAACGCGAGTTCGCGCCTCTTCTCCATATTTTATCGTATTATTCAGTTGCAGAAACGCTGCGAAAATCCTCGGTTCAATACAATTGCGATCCTTTTTTCGTACAACTTGCTCACGGCGGTTGCGTTTTTTACCATCCTTTCCCCATGCTTTATACTTTATACTGAATTGTTATTTTCCGGAGGATTCGGTGTAATTTTACGCGTAATTTAATCCTTGTTACGTCTTTGCGTCGACTTTAACCAGATTTTAGCAGATGCAAGAGCCTAATTTCACATTTATCAGTTTCCGTTATGGTTCATTTTTTATTGATATTCAATAAAAAACACTTGCAGGCTGCATTGGCCGTTCTATTTCTAACAATTTCGCAATCCACGGTAGGTAAATATCGTTCCCCTTTTTTCCAACGTAAAACCGGTCATACTGACATCGGGTATTTTTAACGAAACTGAAATTTTGCAATCGTGTAGGACCTGCAATATAGATAAGTATCGATTACAGCTATATATGTATAGGATGTTTGGCAACAGGTTTATACAAAAAGAATTAATTGCAAAGACAGCTAAAACTTTGTATACTGTATTATTATGTACACGATTCTGTGTTCTATTCGTTTAACATTTTCAATTTCTGAGTACACAGGTACTGTAAAAAAATAAACGCTTAATATGTTCTTAAAAATTTTCCAACATAGTAAGGCAGTGAGTGTTGCATTATATGTATTTTATGAATATCAGTCTTCTCCGATTTTCTTTACTTTGATACTCCGATTAAAATTATCCAATGTTACGATCTATTAAAGTACTTGTCCGATACGTAAGACTATTTAATATCTTCCATCGCATTGAGCAAATATCAGATTGGCTATTCCATTGATAGCTTTACAAAATAATATCAATTTTGAGCTGCTAAACGCATAAGCTTTGTTTAAGAGATCTAAAACCAGTTACCAAAGGTGGTTCTTGTGGTATTCGAGTTATATCTTCAACGGTTTCCACAAGAACAACACCGGACACGAATGCGCCAAGCGCGACTAGAAAAATTGCAAAAACGATCAAGAGCCGGTCTTTGTTCAGATGCAATTCGGAATCTTTCAAAAGAGTACTGCGAAACAGACAAATGCCTGGGAAAATGTATATAAATGCCGCTGACAAGACTCCTAGTATATTGATAACTGAAGAAATGTCCGGCACCAATATTGCAATTATCAAAGATAGTATATACCAAATTAATGTAATGAAAACGCGAAATTTAACAGTTACGTTAACATCCATTCCTAGAAGGTTCAAAAGTGCATCGCGACCGCAGTATAGAACAATGGGATATGTAGTAAAGTTTTTCACTGCAATGAATATTATTGCAAAAGTTAGCAACAAGCTCTTATCCGTATATCCCTGAAGTATATCGCTAGGCACATTTCCAGCACCAAATGCTGCGTATCCATAGATGCCAACAACCGTGTAAGCAACGCAACAAATAATCATACTTGTTATAACGCATATCGTGAATTTTCCAAGTTGTCGATCTTTCATACAAGCATACATTGGTATCGCTGCCATGTGAGTCTAAAAAATTAAATTAAAGAAATATCAAGAGCACACTTAATACTTATATATATATGTATACGATACCTGATATGCGAAGCATGTTATTGGAATTATTTGAAGTGCTTCATAAATATTGTCTGGCCACATTTTCATAGGATGTAGAATGGGATCAATTTTTAAGATGCTATTATAAATAATCAAGAGTATTACGTACAGAATAGTTATAAAACCAATGGAACTGGCATAACTTAAAACATCCAATTTCTTAAAAAAACACAACGGCAACATGAATATAGTGCTTGCGACAGCTGTGACAAATGGTCTGGATAAGTACCTAAAGCAATTAAATATCTATATAAAGATAATGCTGTACATGAAAACATTTGTCAACAGATAGGTGACTTTAATTACCACGTATGACAATAATCAATTCCATAATATGTCACTAGAACTCTGTCGAATTGGTCGCCAATAATAATTATAAATGTTAAACAACATCCAAAACTATATATTGCAACGCACAAAGCGCATAAAATTAGCGATCTATGGCCACAAAATTCTGCAAACATGTTCTGCATGGTAGCGGTATCAGTGATATCGCTACATTTTGCCAAAATCACAAGAGTAGCCGTAATAAAAACAAGTAGGAAACATTGCAAGATAATAGAAGCAGCTATACCACCAGATCTATCGAATGCTTGTGGAAAATTTAATAGGCCGGCTCCTAAAGTAGTATTAATAATTAACACAGTTGTTCCTATCATACTGGTCCCTGAAAAAATGACACAATTATGTATACAAAACAACAAACTATAAGGAACAAAAAATTAAATGTAATCAGAAAACTGAACGCACAACATATTTACCTGTTCGAACACGTCGTGACTGTTCAAGGGACGCAGGATTTGGTGCAGTGCATAATAACATATCATTTTGAATAAGTCGATCGTTTCCTCCGGTTAAAAAATTCATCTTCCAACAAAATTACGAACTGGATGATTTCGCTAACGATTTTACTTTACCTAGACTAAGTTGTTATTGCCTGACCTAAAACAAAGTATCGATGAGCCACCTAAGATCGTGTACCGAGGTTAAAGGCCATTGACTACAAGCAATGCTAAATATCTCTTCACAACAAAGTATGAAGTGTTACTTTTTAAATAGACACATCTCAATATAATACCGTGTTATTATTTCGTGTAGCTTTGATAAACAATCCTGCGATTGAGTTCAAAGCAAACAATAAACAAGTTCCGATATCTAGACTTTAAGGGATAACAAATACATAACAATCATTGTAATCCAACTGAAAATGTTTCAACACATTTTTATTATGTTTATGGGTGTGCAGGCATATGCAGCGCACAATTTTCTTTTCTTACCGCTAGATGACTATAGCGTTCCTGAAATTTACTCACCCCTTTCCTACCCTCCTGGAAAAGCCTATGTAACTCTGTAACTAATGGCTTAGAAGTAAAGGTATTAAACTCAAAATATTCGTGGTGTCTTTGTTCATGGTTTTCATACCACAGATCACCGCAATTATGTCCACTCATGATTTTTTAATGAAAATAGTTCGTTCGTGGATCACAAAACACTATCACCACGTAACGGTAAACATTCAAACTAAATCTCTTCTATATAAACATTGCAATGTTGCAGAAAAACATTAATCGTGGCAAAATTGAGGCATGCAAAAATAAACCAAAGACACAGGATTGTTCAAAAGGCTCTACTGCATCGATATCCTATGAGACAAGTAGATGACAACACTGCGAAACATAATTGTTTTCTGAAATTTGATTAATTATTATGATAATTATTTTGCCGTATTGTCATCTGTTTTCTTTGCACATGATATCAATCCAGCAGTTTTTTCTGAACAGACTTATGCTTTTGGTTAATTTTTGTTTATCCTAATTTTACCGTAATTAATATCTTTCAGTGATCCTGTATTGTGTATGTCGGAGGATTTAGTACGCGCGTTTACCGCTATGGTAATAAATATATTTAGTAATATATAGTATTTTATAATAAAATAATATTATAATATAATAATAATTTACTAATATATAGTATATATTTTGATGTCCGTGGATAGGTATTTTTTAAGAAATAATTGCGAACCAATAACACAAATTTAGCATTCTTGACCTTAAACTGTTCATAATATTCCCGTAATCGACCTTATAGTTTTGGATTGCTATAATTAAGTGTATTTATGGACCTTCGGAGAATAACCAGTTTTAAATAGCCGTCCAGCTAGATGGAGCTACAAGTTACTCTTTTCGCACATTATTTTATTAAATATACATAATTTATATTTCTACACTATATGATAATTATTTTTATTTACGATATATGTATACGATCAATTTATAAAACTTTGTACACCTTAATACAACTGTAGACGCAAGAAACATCTGTCTAAAGAATGAAATGTTGCCTACAATTCAGGAATGCTGGTGTATATTCTTATTCCATGCATGTCTTTGATTTCCTCTTTGAGCGCCTAAAAAGTACACATTACATTAAATAGTTGAAAAGTCGATTAGTCATAAATGTTTTCAATAAATAAATAAATATAATTTACTTCGTTTATCATACGATGTTGCATCATGGTATTCAATCCTTGGAATTCTATAGCAACAACATTTATTTCAAACATAGCTCCACACCCTCCTGTAAAAATATATTTAGAATAAAGATGCGACGAAGTACATTGCACAATTGTTTTTGAATCATAGCTTATTCATTATGTTTCCTCACCGGAAACATCGTTTACTTCGATCAGCTTAGCATTAGGAAATTTGTTTTTTAAAATCTGTTTCATTTTTTCTTCGGCTTGTTTGCCAGCCAATGCTCCGTTAGGTCCATTCCATACCCTCGACAGCAACTGTAAAACTTTCATTTTATTCATCCTACGCATTTCCAACAGGTCTGATTCGATCATTAGATTGAAATGTTGTAGATTCGTGGGAAATAGAGGATAGATGCAAACTTCGTCGATCGTATAAGTGGAAGTATTTCAAAAGTTGACTTGCACATGTTAATGGGAAAATCGTAGGACAGATATCCCCCTGATCGTTCAGTAACTTGCGCGAGGATAAACATGCGGTACACGAAAACGAGTTTTCTACCTACCGATATATTACGAAAATTTGACATAAACACACGGCCGAACATAGTTATTATCGTAGATCGTGGAAAATCAGTCCTCGTTTGTTTCAGTTCTTGAAGCTTTTCACGTGGCACACTACTGATAAACCATCAAAGAGAAAAGATAGTTTTGCAGTGTACAATGCCGCCTCGATATGTTAGATACTTATTGTGTGTATGTACGAACCGATCAGCTGAATTTGGTCGATGCTTACGGTAACGCCATCTGGTTTCAAATAAATATGTACGTACATATATCCATACATGCATATGAATGTATGTACATATTGAAAAAGAAACAAGTTTGTTATATGTACAACAAAATATAATAAAGATACGTACAAACATGTATACAAAATATACTGCTCAATTGATCGACGACGGTAAAGTGTAACGCAACAAGTAAAGCAATAGACAATATATACATATACATGTGCATACATTGAGTAAAAAATAGATTACCGTTACGGTTTACCATTACATAATTTTATTAAATGCGGTATGTCAACAACAGGAATAAGCTGAACGCAATGGAACATTGTATAGCTCAGCTAGCACCTAGTATCTTATGACAATTTACATTTCGGCCGTTTTATTATTAAGTATAATATTATTTCGCCGACGTAATTTTCTCGGTATTTCACAGCATTCAGCGAATGAAAAAGAATTTTGAATGAAATTCGAGACAGATCGTGCTGTTCGCTGCATTAGGATAATGAATGATTCGCCGAGTGTAGATAAATGGGAGCGTAAACGTAAACGCGTACATTGCGAGTGGTAATCGAGAACGGACGCGTGTGCGCACGCACGATAAACTTGACATAGGATGACGTAGGTGAATACGAGCTTGAGCGTAACCTTGATTCGTGCATTGCAGCTTCTCTTTCCCTTCGCCCTGCAACCCTCGTCTGCAATCCTGTCGTTTCGTCCAGGCTCGAGCCTCGATTCCCGAGCGATTTTCGAGTAAAAACGGACCCCGTGTTATGTCAAAGTCGAATCTCGGGGCACGCGATTGATCCGACAGATTTCATTTCCCGGATAATTTGTCGGTCGAAAATCGAATGACACGTCCGAACAACGTTTCTACGACAGATAAAACAGCTCCACATTAATGTCTCGTTGTTAGCAAAAACCGAGATCGTGTCCAGGGGCCAGGGTAAACGTGGAACAAGGAAGTTGCATAGGTACATATTATCGATTCGCTAGAGCTCACGAGTTAACGGTTTGTTTACACGACGTGGAGGGAAGTGCGCATGCGCCGCAGAACCAAAACAATAATAAGAGAGTGTAGAAGGTTCGTGACTGGCGGTCGAACGGTTGCTCGCTTCGGGGTGTCGTACGAACGCTTCTAAATCGTCTTCGAAATCGTTTGTGCACACTCGAGCCAGTCGAGAGAACGTTAAACGGTTCCGCACCTTTCTCAAGCCGCTTTGATCGGCATATAGAGCTCGCCGGGACGGTTTCACGTACAGTTGTACTCCTCCATTCTGAACGTACACACATTCCCCGTCCGGGATCAGCTTGCGTCAAAACGTGCACTGTTGTGCAACGTGCGTTCGAAATCGAACAGTGCGATTACGGCCTGCAGACAGGTTATACTAGACTAAGCGGAATGGAAATAACAGAAAAGTGATGCGAGAAGGTGCGCGTTACGAAAATCAGTACACGACGAGACCTGCTCGAACGTGTCCGACCGTCGACGGGAGTGTTCGTTCGATTCACGAAAGCTTGCCGAAGGGGAAACTTGGATGATTCGTTCTGAAGAAGAAAAGAGTAAAGGAGAGAGCCAACAGAGGCGGTGGAATATAGTGCGCGTATTTACCGAGTGAATCACGCGTTCTATACGATTACGAGACGTGGCGACTCTGCCTGCTTTGAGCCATCTATGTTTACGTCAACGTTTTCAAATATGTTCGTAAACATTGAGGTGTGCGAAGAGCTCGAGCGACCCAGTATGCCGGTCGATTGGTCCTAGTTCGCTCTCTCTCGGCTCACATATATACAGGAGAAAAACGGAGCGTCCGGCTCTCTGGTGGAAAAGAGAGGAAGACACAAGGGAACGTGTTCCGTATGTGAGTAAACAGCCGAAGAGAAAGAGCAAGAGGGAAGAGAGCGAGAGCGAGAGAGCACCAACACGTTGATCGGAGAAGCGCGGGGCTTTATTGTGTTCGTGGGTTGCTCCTATCGTAGAGAGACATAGAGGTGTAAACACATTCGTGCCATTGTCCTTTTGTTCTCGTAGGCGGCGAACGGGGGAAAGTCGACATGCCGAGCGCCGAGGAAACCACATATTTGATCGAGGTGATGCCAGATACGACGCAAGACCTGCTCTCCCGCGACGTGGATCTCCTCGTCTCACGGATCAAAGAGAACCTACGGTTGTCCAGTCTGAAAGCTAAATCGAGTATCAGTCATAAAAACCGTGCATCGCCTTATCAAGTGCCGTCGAGATCCTGGGCAGACCCGAGCAGTTGCGAGGTGTGCGGCACGAGAAATTTAGGGCCGCACGATCATCGTCATCATTTAAGTCATCATTTGAAACGGCAGAACAACAGGGAGGACGATCCTTACGAGTTTCTGCAGGACCTGTTAAGGGAAGGCGGCCTGATCAAAGAGGCTGTCAAAAGACTTCAAGCGAATCTCAGCGAGTTAGAAAATCCCGAGGAAGAGGAGGACGAACGTTCGAAGGCGTACAGGAGAAAACCGTACTTATACGATTCCGAAGACGAACAGTTACCGCCGCCAGTATACGAGCCACTCGAGCTGTGAAACTGAATCCGATTCCGTCGTCGTCGTCGTCGTCGTGTCGGTTTCGTTCCGCCTCGGCCGTTTGTTTGTGTCTCCTATGCGTGCGTGTGTCTCTGTGTGCGTATCGTGCATGTCGTGTGTTGCGTTGCGACCGTGTATGCGAGAAATTGAAAAAAGAATCAGGGTCAAAACTTTCGGTGTTCCTTATAGCTTCGTCTTTCCTTGTCTCGATTTCTTTCAGTGTGGTACGCGCCCGCGAGCCTGAAGTGTTCTCTTTAACGAGAGTATATATATGTTGCCCTGGCCGACATAGAGCACCGCGTACCGAAAGAAAGTATAAACGAGATAAACACAATTAGACAAGAACTCGCCTTGCATGGCCGTGTTTGTAAATATGGTATGTGTTGTTATTCGAAGCAGTCTCGCGTCCGACTTCGTGCAACCTCGGCTAAGTTCGTTGGCGTATCGACGACTGCTCGCGAAGCTTACGTGGAGGCGTGGAGGACTCGTCGCTGCCTCGGTTCGAGCTCTCGGACTCGATTTAATGTCGCAACAACATTCATCGTTTCATGATTGCCGGTTCGTCTCTCTCTTTAAATAGACAGAGTTCCTGTGTGCCTGTCGCTTTTAACCTAATAGAACGACTATCCTCCTGAATATCCTTTCGTTGTTTGGTCGGCCATCTTTCCTCCTCTCGATCGTTTCATCATACCCCCCACCCCGCCGCCGCTTTTTTTTTAAATTCATTTCAACGAACATAAAAATATTTTTGTGGTTACGCAATCGCGTTGAAAGCACATGGCTATACATACGAATCACGTATGCGTAAACGCTTTAAAGGGGAGAGGAAACTCGTTAGAAAGCCTCTAACGTAAAACGCAAGTAGCTCCAGATTTCTATGAATGTATAAAACTCGTCTGTTACCTCTTTCGTACAATTATAGTTTTTTATAATAGCATCGAGTTCGGCGACAAATGCGCGTCTAAACGAAACGAACGATGATCCTATAAGGTATAAGTTCACCATTTTGGCTCGAATTGTTCGAGTTATTACGGTCCAGTTACTATTAGAAAAGAAGGATATATATATGTATGTATGTAAGTTGCGTGAAATCTATCAACGAACGACACGTATGCTTTCACGTATTGAAGGATCGCGATTCACGAAGGACAGTGATCTCATTTATTTGTTTTATTACGAATAGAGTTGTTCATTCGGGCGGAGGTTAAATAACAGTACGCCTGTGGCTCGAGTCGAAATTCGATTACGTGTCAGCGCGTGATGCGAACGTGAATCATCTTTCGTGACTTTCCAAGCATTCGACGGGCTTTTGGTCGGAGAAATTACAAAGCAGAGAATAGAATGCGATTTCCGTTCGTTCAGCGTATTTAGACACATAGTTATTTATATCGCTATCGATTATTGTTAGCGACGTTACAAATGCCGTTTCGCGTGTGTAAATTCATTGTATATATTGTGTGGATATGCGTGTTTGATTTAGCGATACGATAGTTGATTCGTTTACGATATCGAACTCGAAAAGTCGACGTATTAATTCGATTTATAGCGACACAAACTAGCTGAGAATCGCGAAGCATGCGGTGCGGGGAGGATACGAGTTGTGTCGTGACTAGGAGTTGTATAAATACACGTTATCGAGTTCCGCAAGATAAACTGGCAATTAATACATCATACGTCTCTCGTGAACATGTCGGGTTAAATCACCGTTCCGTTCCGGTGTATATGTGATTATTTCTGTATGAATGAAGGAAAATTGCATTTTTTCTTTGATGTCGGCGTGTCTGCGCTTGCGCGTCGATTTACGCCGGGACATTGGGAGAAAGGGAGGGAGAAAGAGAGAGTGAGAGAAAAAGAGAGAGAGATTTGTCTTTAAATTTACCGTTATAGTGTAAATTACGGAAGCTATACCTCGTTGTGATAGTTGAATTTCTGGTTCAACGACTCTTAATTACAAATAAAGAAGTTACAAATTTTACATTGAGACGCTTTATACTCCACTAGTTCATATTTGTACAAAGGCTCCATTTTGTTTGCCACTTTTCTGTTACCGGATGAACATTTCTTCTATGTTAGAAGTCATCGTGAATAAGACAGTTTGGAAATGTTTTTTTTTTTATTGTATATATGTATCGTGAGTTACCATTACGTAAATTCATTGATTTTATCGCATAACATGAGAATCTCGAATGGTGTTGGTTCCGATAGCATCAAAGAGGATCGATCGCAATACATAGATAATTTTCGTTGTTTGAATGACTAGCATGATGCGATCGCTTTGTTACGTCATCGCGTGGAAATATCGCAGGATAACAAAAGTACGTATGTATATGTATAAACTGAATATACATTTATACATACATAATATGTACAGTGTTCTACTTAAAATTATTTTAGTGGCATTATTTTTGTTATACGGACCGACGTGTGTGTGTGCTACCATTTGAATTCATCCTCGCTTACAATTTAGATATCGAAAATAAATGGTAATTTCTCGTCAAAATATTGAAATAGCTGCACAGTACAGATCAAATTGTACAGAAATAATACTTGAATGATGCAATGTTTACTCGAGGTGAAAGACATGTTAATAGAATTGTATATTTGAATACGTAGTCGTGTATATGTATTTATACTGCGAGAGTTTGAATCAGTTTTAATATTCCAATTTGGAGATTATGTTAGAAAAAAATGGCTATTTAGGCACTTATTTTCTTAATTAAAAAAAGTCATAACGATAATGTGTTCCTCAAACTGTACAACTGTAATTTCGAAGAAACTTATATTAATTAAATAGAAATTAAAAAGAAATTCACATATTCAATAAAAATAAATAAGCGTGGGATTTATTAGTGCAAATTGTTCACGTGATGCGCTAGTGCAGTGATGTCCACGGGAGCAAATGGAAGACAAAGAAAACCGGTGTCCCCACCACCCGTGTCCCGGGACACAACGATGACGACACGACGGTTTGCAGCGAATAGCGACGTAGCGAGACAGCGAGGCTAACAGGCACTCTACCGCGCGTGATTCAAACGATATTATTTCGGATTATATAAAACAATTTTCTGCTTTTATGCAAATCCCAATACTACTTCTGTTAACTCAATCTTCTATTTCTTTAACTTCTTATTTTCATTGTAATATCAAGAATGATTAGGTTCAGTATTAATTTTTACTCCATCTTGTGTAAAAGCGTATTTCTATTTCCAGTTTTGACTTTGGGGCGGGGAGTATTTTTTTAACTTCTATAACGACACGGCTGTTTTGAAATGTTGAATTCTTAAATGACAATTCTGAGGAGAAATTAAAAAATTAAATTTAATGCGAAATTATAGTCATTAGTTTGTGTTATTTGCGCATTCTTCACTGGCTTTCGTAATTTTGCGCGTTATGTTCTCCACGAACGCGCTAATAAAAAAAAAATGGGTGCTTAGAAAGTTGAAACTGGAAGCGAAAAGCAGCGCATAAGGGACTCCGCATTTTGTCTCCCGTGGACATCATTGCGTCAGAGCTATTATCAGTTTTAAAGATAAGGATAAAGGCTCAAGTATTCGTGCAATGAAATATTTTTAAAGATACGAGACAAATTTCGTTGTAGAAAAAATAATTATTTACGCTTGGAAAGTGAATTTCCAAACTTGCCTGCTAAAGAATTTGGTGTAGTAAAATAATCTACGTGCTCAAACAAATTGACAATTGGTGGCTAACATGGTGGACGTCGAGAATATGTATGTACTTATTACATATTTATTATGTTTTTGCAGTATTTTATAGGGATATAAAAAAATTATTTACGAACATTATATTTTGTGTAATTAGGTTGGAGTACCTTGCTGGTTTCAGTATTTTTATGTTTGTTATTGTTGGCATTTTTTATTCCTCTATTCGTTGACAAACTCAACAATTATGATAATTGACAGTATTATTATTGGTATCTAGTAATACATTATTAGTATAGACTTTACTGTATTCAAGAAGTTTCTTATGATAGTAAACAGTATGCCGATTAAAGCAAATTGAATAAAGTTTTAATTGATTAGATTTTAATTGGCATATAAAAATGTGACTACTTTTCACCGATGTATAAATAAACTGCATGTTTCAGGAATAATGTAGAATCCCACTATCAACGAGGAAACCACACGCTAAAAATACCTATGTCCTTGTTTCGAAATAATCGCAAACGATTAGTAGAGCGTATAAATTCTAAAACAAATGCTCCGATTGCAAAAAGTTTTATTGTTCTACAAGGAGGAAGTGAAGTTCCATTCAACGATACAGATATAAAATGGCCTTTCAGGCAGGCAAGTCAATTTTCTATTCTTCCAATATATCGAAGGAAAAAGTGTTTGAATGGAATGCTTTTAATAGGAGTCATTTTTTCAATGGTGTTTTGGCGTAGAAGAACCAGGATGTTTTGGTGCAATTAGTTTAACAGGAATTTCAATTTTATTTGTCCCACGTTTGCCAGCAGAATATGCAATTTGGGAGGGAAAATTGCATACATTGGAAGATTTTACGAAGCGGTACGCGGTCGATGAAACTTATTATAGTGATGAAATAGCTGAAATATTAAAGAAAAAGGAAGCATCGCTTCTCCTCACTTTGGTAAGCTCTCCTTTTCTGAAATCATTTTTATATCTTTTATATATCTGATTCATTTTATATTAATCAATTGCTGCTAACTTCATAGAATGGTCGGAACAGTGACAGTGGTTTGGAAACTCCAGAATTAAATTTTAATGGGCTTGAACAGTAAGTGAGACTTACATGATACATTTGTATTCATTCATAATATTTTATTTTACTATTTATTTGTATTATGCTTCAGATTCAAAATGGATAAAACCGTTTTATATCCAGAAATATGTGAATGGTATGTATTGCTAAATGTTTAATTATTACTGTTAGCTAGCGACTGTTGAGAATATTATATTATATTAGATTAGAATATTAGAATATTTTAATAGTATATATTATATATTTATATATTTTATATAGTATATATTTTAATAGTATATTAATATTTTAATAATATAATTTTAATTAATTATAAGATTAGAATATTATATTTTCACGCATGTCTATATGAATTTACACACATTAACGATATCGATAAGACTTTGTTAAGAACGGATTGGTCGTCGATAGAATCATCACCCGATCGACAATTTTTTTTATTTCAATATCGAACGTTGTAATTACTTCCAATCGCGCCAAACTTCCTTCTTTATGTTTGTCAGTTGCCTTTTGTACGAGACTTTATAATAATTATCCAATAAGGTTGGAACTCGATTTTTAAATTGAAAGTATTTTCAACAGCTGTTTCAACAAAATATTTCGATAACGATCGCCAAAAAAGGTAGAATATATAAAACAATGATGAAGAATAGATATATTGGTAGAACTAGAATTTTATCAGATGCTTGTATGCTCTATGCAGATGATCGTAGCCGGTCATGTATGGGCAAAATTGTTAATGCGTATACCTGTGCAGACGTCGTTAGTTTCGAAATTGAACATACGATGGTACGAACGTGGTGGCCAACAAATTCTGACGCAGACTAGTATCTTCGTTCAAGAAGGACCGGAGATTCAAGAAGTGCCTTTGATCGTTAGAAAAATCAGCGACGTGGAAGCATTATTCGAGAGTAAAGATAAAAAATCTAATCATCCCGATGAAACTAGCCGCAAGGCTTTCGATACGACTAAAAAGAGTGATCAGCTTAGGTTACGCGAGAAGAACAGTGCATCAAATTTTCCACACAACGCCAAAGTAAAGAATAAATCATTGAATCGTAGAATAGATATTGAAACGGACGATGGGACCGCGATACTATTTTGTCCAGATCTCGAATGTTTGAAAGACACGGACATACAAGAGGCTTTACAAGAATTGCAAGCATTCAAGACAGCCGATGGTGTTTATTCTCTTTTGGAGAACAAAGTAACGCATGAGATTAATTGCAGGATAGCTTTGGAAGGGCTAAAGAAAGTTATAGAACTGGAAAATAATTGGTCCAAGCAGAAGAGAAACAAGCAATTTGAAGTGGACAATACCGCGAGGGATGTTATGATGAAACAATTGATTAAATTGATCGTCAATAGCCAGGACAGCGAAATGATACTTCAAGGATTGATCGCGTTGAAGAAAGATAAAGTCAGTCCACCGAAAAACGAGTACAGGGATTGGCTATGCGACCAAGCATTGATCCGTGCCACAGACGGAGAGTTTACACCTGTACAATTAGTAAACGTGATTAAGATTTTGTCGACATACAAGGACTCGAAATACCGTAAATCTATAGACGCTTTATGGGTCGGTATTTTACTTAGGGAGCAAGAGATCAACTCGTACACGCTGGTGGCATTATTCAAAATGTTGAAGTATTTCAATCAAAGTAAAAATATGGTGAAATTTATACTGGAAAGGAAATTTTCTGATCACTGGTTGAAATTGACTGGCACGCAAATAGCCGAGATATTAGACTGTTTTTACAATAACGCTTCTGCTAGTACATGCTTACTGAACGCCAGTAAATGGGCAAGCATAAGCATGAATACGTCTAGAGAGAAGGATTTGATAAATTTTATACAGAGTTTAATTGCGAAGGAGTATATAGATGATAGAATAGAGAGCACCTTGCAGAAATATCTCAAGAACAAAGTATTGCAAGTCGAAGATTCAAATTTGATAGCGACGATCATGAATTACTGTAAAACGTTGAGAATTAGAAACGAAAGTATTTTAGCCGAATGCGGAGAATATTTTATAAAACATGGTACGAATGTACCGACGTCTTTGTTGCCGTCCATTTTGACAACATTTGGAATGTTACATGTACAACCACCGAATCCTGTTCAGTTTTGGGAGACGTTTGATGCGGTGTTGTCAGTGAAGTTTCATGATTTAAAGCTGGACGATGCCTTGGATATTCTTCTTTCTTGCGTCTATCTTGAAAGATGTCCTGTGAAATTTCTTGACAAAATTTTTATCTCTCAGCTACTCCATAAGCTTCACTTAAGAAGCCATTCGATCTTTTTCGACCGTATAAAAAGCAAACTACAGCTTTTGGACACTAGCATGTCTTTGGAGTGTATGGATTATCGGCATTTGCACGTTCCCGTGGGGAGATCAGACAAACCATTATTTTTGGACAGTCGAATCAGAAGAACAGTCAACATGGTCTATCAGCCATTAGCGTCTTTGGTAGGCGGTGAACAAAGGTTGAGTAAAAATGTTATTTTGAATCGACTGCCAACCATAAGCTTCTACATTCTCGACATTCTGATACATCCGTTTGTGGAGTCCACGTCTGTTCTCCAGCTAAGCGGGCAAGAAAAAAACATTAACACCGCAGTTCTGATTTATTTGCCAGAATACTATTGCAGAAACACGAATCACTTGATAGGATCTCAAATAATGAGAAAAAGGCATATCAGGAAGTTAGGATTTCGTGTAATGGTATTGGATTACTCCGTACTGCAGGAAGTTTGTAGCGAATCGGATAAATTATCATCCTATTTGTCGAAAAGCTTAAATTCCGTGGAAGACTCATTATAGTGTGTACGTGTCAATTTACTCGTATACGCTATTCGTCATACAACAGTCTATCGATGAACATTTGTCATGCATTGTACGAAATAAAATCTTGTAAATAATAGCGACATACTTTCTTGTTAAGTAACAGCAATATGTTGATTTCTAGCAGAGTGATAAAGTCCCCGCAGGAATTAGAGGTGTTGGAATATGTGATTAAGATAAGCTCAGATGCTCACAAGTCTGTTATGCGCATGGTAAAGCCAGAACTAGCAGAATTTCAAGCGGAAGCAGCTTTTATGCATTACGTGTATTCCAAAGGAGGTTGCAGACACGTATCCTACACTTGTATCTGTGGCTCCGGGCATAACTCGTCAATACTACACTATGGGCATGCCGGTGCACCCAACAATAAAGTTATAAAGGCGGGGGATATGTGGTTTGTGTATAGCTTATATTCGTAGAGAGCTCGGTTAATTAATTTCTTCTATCGAATATCGTGGTACTTTTTAGTTGTTAGCAGTTTATTGAATATAATGATGCGAACTGAAATAAAATTAAAAACTAATTAAAATAGAACGAAGCAGCCGTTACCATAGTAATAAAATCTGTACCATAATATAAGACAGAGATAATATTATTTGTGTAACAATCGAAGTGATAAAATATTGATCGTATCGTTTATTTTTTGCAGTCTCTTCGACATGGGTGGAAACTATTGCGGATACGCAGCAGACATCACGTGTAGTTTCCCAGCGACCGGGAAATTTACTGCGGATCAGAAAATGGTGTACAACGTTGTACTTGCCGCTCGCGATGCGGTAATGAATGCGGCGAAACCTGGGGTCTCTTGGACGGACATGCACGTGCTAGCCAACAAGGTCATGCTGGCCAAGTTGAAAGAGGGCGGCTTGTTAAAAGGCGATGTCGATGACATGATGAAGGTAGGGTTAAACGAGACATTCCAGTTCCATGGTCTTGGCCATCTGATGGGGTTGGACGTTCACGACGTTGGCGGATACCTTCCAGGACATCCGGAACGTCCCACTGCTCCAGGTTTGAAAAACCTGAGGACCAGTCGGATCCTGGAAGCCGGTATGGTTCTAACCATAGAGCCAGGTTGCTACTTTGTCGACTGTGTAAGTTTAAGAAGCTCGGTAGACACAAACATATTTTATTTGTAATATTAAATAATCCTTAACAAGCAGGAGGATACCTTTTTCTTTTTGACAAATTTATTATTAAATTATTATAAATTATAATAATGTTATAATAATTATAGAATTATTATTAATTTATTATAAATTTATTATCACTTATTGTGAAATTTTGGCGGTAGATCTAATAAAACAAATTCTGGAAGATTGATTGTTACACGAATAGTTATTAGATGCTGCTTTGAAGAATCCGGATCAGTCGAAATTCATCGTGGCGGAAGAATTGAAAAGATTTCGGAATTTTGGCGGTGTTCGAATCGAGGATGACGTTGTCATAACGGAAACAGGAGTGAGAAATTTGACCGACGTGCCGCGCACGTAAGTTAGACGAATTGTCTCAGAAAACATGAAAATGTGTTTCTAGGAATAATAACTACATTTAACGTCACGCTTTATCGTCGTCAATTTGCTTTCAACAGGCATATATTAACATACATTTAAAACAAGAAAGTAATGCATAATTCATTCGCAGAGTCGAAGAGATAGAAAGCTGGATGGCCGGCGGTAAAATATAGTTCGAGTTTGAAGCTCGTGGGAATTCCGAAACAGTGAATATCAGCAGGGATTCCCTGGTAAGTTTCAATGTGTGTCGGTGTTTGATCAAGCGCTCGGAGCGAAGAATCCGTATTTACGTATGCTGTTTTTTTGCGATGTAAGCACAGGTGCCGTAAACGGAACAACACGCTGTCACGAAATATCTTCTACATCGTAAGGGTATCTGTGTGTAACACATAAGAAGAAGAAAATTGTACAATATTAAGTGATTTAAGTAAACAGAAAATATTTTTCTTTACATCGATGCGTTGCGTGAATATTTCTACACTTTCGGCAGGAGTCCTTACGATATCGTCGCTAATCGAAATGTCCTCTCCTAAGCGAATCATGGTCGACCGAAATCTGTAGAATCTATCGGATGTCGGATTTAATCAAAAATCTGTTGCAATTAGAAATTATTCGCGCGCGCGCCAAGCATCGAATTCGCGATCCAGTCGCGAGCAAATTTCGTTTCGCGCGATTGTTTCTGTTTTTTTTCCGAAGCGAGAGGAGAGACAGACGGATCTCTCGCGCGCAACCTTGGGATACGATATCTTCGGTTTATTGAAAGGGAAGTTGAACGCTGTTATTATCGGGTATGGTGTTACAGTCGCGACCGTGGTGCGAGCGTGTGCGGCGGTTCTCCTTGCGAATATTCCGCGAACCGCAACAACGTCAACCGAGCTTCTCTTTGTCGCCATACACGCGACAGCATCCTCTATTTTCGTTTCTGCTCGTCGAATAATTGATTGTAAATCGGCGGGGTGTGTCCTCGCGCGTGTGATGCGTGCGATACGTGCGAACCGCGTGCAGTATACGCGCAAAGAGGCTATTTCGTGCGCGGCGCAAACGTTGAAAAACGGGTCGCGTTTGAAAACACCGAAAGAAAATCGCTTCTTTTGTCCGAAACGATTACATAACGTCGAGCTGAGCGCGTAGAAACGTCCCGAAGACTGTTCGATCGTAGTTGTAGTACGGTTGCGAGTGAAATCGCCGACGAAATCAAAATCGAGATCGCGTTAGACGATACCCGTTGTACGTTCAATTTGTTGCGTTGCTTTCTCTTCGAAAAATCGTGAGGCCGTTAGGCCGGACCGTGCTACTTCGAGCGAAACGAAAATATGTAACGTCTGACCGCGGAAGAAGATCGAAGCGCGAGAAGATTATACCGCCGAGACTGCTCCCTTTTCTCGTGGAACGATCGCCCGCCGAACGACTTAGCGACTGGTACGAACAGTTCCGACCAGATGGTTCGATTCGCCGATCGATCTCTGTACCACCGGTGATTCCCGAGAATTCCGGGACCGACCGTCGTGCGTCACATTTCAAGGATTAGCAAACCTGTTCCCTTATTCGCAACAGTTCGCCAGCTCGCGGCCACGTCTGTATTCCCTTTCCATGGCCGGTTACGGCCGCGGCGATCCGGTGTACCGATTTCGACGGTTCGCTACGTTCCCTCAAGTTTACGATCAAGGTGAAGGCGACGAACGGTGTGGTCGGCCGGAGTCCGGGAAGGCTGCGGAGGCGTAGGCGAAGGCAAAAGTGAAGGCGAGCCGCGCGTATGCGAACGCGAAGCGACGACGGCGAATAACGTGCACGTCAATTTCCGTTACGTAGGTGCTGACGGTTTCACGAACGCGAGCCCAGTCTTGACGTAACGCGGCGGGATCGACAGTGTCATGCGATACACGTGAACCTGTCACGCGGTGCCAGTGTCAATGCTTCGGTATACGTTCGCGGGAGCGGTTTTCTCGATCGACGATGGTTCGCGCCATTGTGTAATTATTTGTATTTAATAATATCTCGGCTACGCGGTTATAAAGTATCGAAGGATGGACAGATTAAGGCGCGCGAAAATATTGTTTTGGCTACGTCGACAGAGAGTACGCGGCGACCAAGCAGCGATAAGCATCCGGAGGCTTGCAACTATTGCCGCGTGCCGATTCCGAGAAAAGTGTTAACGCGATCTGTGATCCGCGATTGGACGGAGAGATTATTCGCGAGGGATTGTCCGCGCCGTAGAAAACAACGAGGGGGAAGCGCGATCGAGAGAGAAAGGGAGGAGCGGCGAGAATGTGATAATTGGAAGCGAACTCGTAACTAGTCTAGTCATTGATCGGTTGCGAGACGCCTCGCGCCGCGACGCCCTCTCTTCCCAACCCCAGCGTCCCCACCTGCTCGTTCAGGATCGTGTCAGACATTTAAGCGTCGTGACGGAAACACGCCTCCCTCTTTCTCTCGTTGCCTCCTTGTCCCTTGCCCGTTTCTCACTGCTAATCGTCTCTGTCCATCGCGCTCCTCTCTCTCTCTCTCTCTCGCTCTCTTTCTCTCTTCTTAGTCTCTCTCTTTCTCTCTTCTTAGTCTCTCTCTTTCTCTCTTCTTAGTCTCTCTCTTTCTCTCTTCTTAGTCTCTCTCTTTCTCTTCGTAGTCTCTCTCTCTCTCTTCTTAGTCTCTCTCTCTCTCTGTTTTTCGTGCGCGCGCTCTCTCGCTCCCGTTTTCCCTCTCTGTCTCTGGTTCGCCGTTTCCGTTCGACGCGGCCGCGGCCGTTCATCGACTCGCGAGGATCTCGCGGCGACGAACGCGACTCGCTCGACCCTTGCTCGCGGAAACCGACGCAGAACGGGGAGAGACTTTTGGTGCGCGTTCCACGGGGAAAAGTGCCGCGCAAGAGAGAAGAAGACCCATTGTTTCTGCTCCCCGTCTCCGATCACGACGGTCGGAGGAAGGACGCGGTGCGGGACGACGACGCGGTGATCGAGGTCGGAGTGATTCCGTGTCAAAATGTGTCGTGACCCGTTGCAGCGAGTCAAGAAAAAATCGAACTGCGAGGCCTGACGCGTTTCCGCGGCGAGAAGACACCGACGACGACGACCGACGAAAACAGAGCGACGATATGTTTCAGCGCGAATGCTCGTCGACGTCGTTGTTCGCCCACCGCTGCCCAACGTCGTTGCCCGTCGTCGACCAGCCCGAGAACATGGTGAACGACCATTTCTAGGCCCGACTAGGTTCGCAGGAGAGAGAGAGAGAGAGAGAGAGAGAGAGAGAGAAAGAGAGAGAGCTTCTAGCAGATCGTCTCTATAAATCGGCCGAGTCCAGCGATTACACGAATCCAGGACGATTGTCCGTCGGTTGCCCAGGGCAACCCGTTTCGCGAGTTTTGTCCGGGATATCGAGCAGGAAACACGCGAGACGGAAACTAGGTCAGTAGGATAGGCGCGTAATCCGCAGCGAGGGAAACGGAAGACGGAAAGCGGAAAACGAAAAGAAAAAAGAAAACGGAGAACGGGAGCCGCGAGAAAGGAGAGAAGAAGAAAGAGCGGCGGTGTTCGCGTGCTAATCGCAAGCTATCGATCGGGGGCCGGTCGGGAGCGATGTTCTGTTTTCAAAGTCCGTTCACGCGGGCTTCCCGCGTGCTCTCGGCCCCGCTGTCATCCGGCAAGCCGAACGGCTCGACGATCGGCTCGACGATCGGCGCGATCTTGCCGACCGGCAAGACGCGCGCCGCACCGAAGTCCCGCGACGGGTCCAGAAGGCTGTCCGAGGCGACCAGCGAAGGTTCGAGCTCCTCGATCGGGTACATCGACCAGGAGCCCTCGATCTCGGACTGCAGCAGCAGCGACACGCTTCCCGACGTGAAAACCGACTACCTGGACCCGGTCTCCCTGTCGCCGGCGTCTTTGTCGCCCGGGTCGGACTCGTCGGTGCGGGTCGCGCAAGAGCCGCACGAGTCCAGCGATCGCAAGAAACTGCTGGAAGACGACGATGATCGCAGCCCGCCCCCGCGCTCCCTCGGCGCCTCGACGAAGAAGAGATCGCCGAAGGGCAACAACCGGTGCAGAAAGTTCTTACTCCGGCTGCGACCCAACGAGTCCTCGAGCAACAAGGAAACAAGGTTCCCCTCCGCGTCGACGTCCCCGTCCCCGTCCCCTTCGCCGTCTCTATCACCGTCACCGTCACCGTCACCGTCACCGTGCCCGTCCCCGTCGATCCCCGACTCGATCGGCACCGAGTCGGCGGACTCGTCGAGGAAGCGACGGGTCGTCGACGACTACGAGACGATCACCGGGGACACGGCGACCCTGTTCACCAAGTCGTCGCCCTCCGTTCTGATCGACTGCGTCGACACCGCCGAGCCGGAGGAGAACCAGAGGAACCGCAGACCGACCGCCGCGGCCTCGGAGAACGACATATCCTCGTTGCAGAACACGTTCCCCGAGTCGGAGACCGAGAACGGTTACCATCGGGAGGCCGAGACGGAAACGGAGGAGGGATCCTCGTTGCCCTTGAGTCCCGCGGGCCCTTTGACCGCCGAGCTGTCCTCTTCGTTGGCGCCTTACTACAACTTTCTCTGCGTGAACGGCGGCCCCATACGGCAGGAGATGACCAGCACCAGCTCGCCCCAGCTCTGCTCGGCTGGCAATCGCGAGTCGTCGAGCGACGACGCGTCCCGAACGTCCGGCAAGCCGCGCGGCTCCTTCGACGCTGGCGAGAAGTTCTCCCGGCTGAACTGCCTGGCACCCGAAGGTCTGGACGGATCGTTCTGCCTGCCCGCGGCCAGATCCTGCCCGAATCTGGAAGGCCGGAGCGCGGGGTGCTCGCCGAGCAGCGGCTCCTCGAGCTCCAGCCCCGGCTCGGGGCCGGTCGGGCCCAGGTTCAAACCGATCGAGGAGGGCGACATACAGCTCTGCTTCTTGAACCACTCGAAGACCCTAGTCAGGAAGATCTTGTCCAGCAAGTTCCTGAGGAGATGGGAAACGCATCATCTCTATCTGAACGACACCTGCGTTTCCTCTAAAACGGTAAGAGACAAGCCATGTGGAAACGATTCGACTCGGTTCGACCCGAATTTGCTCGGCGACAGCGAGGTCGGTGAAACGGCATACAGGTAAACGCCTGTTCGTTTGCAGCCCACGGGATTTCTTCAGCATCCGATACCGTACAGCAGCATGTCCGACATAAGGAGATACGCTGTCGCGAGATGGGATCCAACTTACAAAAACTGCCTGAGCATAGTGCTGCCGGACAGTTCTCTTCTTCTCCAAGCGAACAACGCCTACACCAGGGACCAATGGTATCATTCGATATTGTGGAAGGTAAGCGCCTTCCCTCGTCCTCGCCTCTCGGCGTAATGGTAACGGTAGCTCTCTGTTTCTATCGGATGTTATATGATATACGGTAATATATATATATCATACATTATTTAGAATTTAGAATTTTATTTAGAAATTTATTATTTCTATTATATATTATTTATATTATATATATATATATTACCGTATATCATATATTATAACATCCGATAGAAACAGAGAGCCACCGTTACCATTATGCCGAGAGAGAAATAATAAAATTCTAAATTCTAAATAATATATATCATATATTATATATCATTATTATATCATGTATTATTTAGAATTTAGAATTTTATTTAGAAATTTATTATTATTAAGAATTTATATTTATTTTATTATATTATATTATATTTAATTTTATATATATATATATATATATATATATATATATATATATATATATAAAAAATTATATGATATATTTTTTTTATAATT